AAGAAAGGATGGAATCGGGAGTCAGGACGAGGCCTGGAGCTCATGCCACTGCCCCAGCTGACTATGCCTCTCATTCTTGTTAGCGCCCTGGTGTTCAGCCACTGCCTGGGCTGGAAGCTTGGGGGCTCCATAGACCAGAATTCAAATCCCACTCCCGACTCCCTAGCCGACCATCTGGTAGCCATGACCGACCCTGGCTCTTGGAGCCCTGGTAAAGGTATGTGTGACACTATCCTTCCTCCCAGGGGCGCTGTGGGGCTTTGAAGGAGGTGTCCTCAGCACAGGTGAGTGCCTTCTTCCCAACCCACTACCCACCACTCCCAAATCCAAGCCCTCCACTTCCTCAGCAGCCCCCTGCAAATGCCTGGTACATTCTGAGCTGCCACCCACACAGAAAGGAAGTTCCCTGGGAGGTGACAGCAGCAGACCCATTTTGGCACTGTGGAAACTGAGGCACGGGCCCAGGAAGTGACCTACCCATAGCTCCCACTCTGGGGAAGAGGGCAGAGAACATACACAGCAGCCCTACCCTAGCTGCTTTCCTGGAAGCCTTGGTCCAGAGGGTCCCCAGCAAGGCCAGCTTCGGGGTCAGGCCTGCAGAGCCCCTTTTCGGAAATGCCTGCCAAAACTGAAGACGCCAGACCCGGCCCTCCTCGTGTGACCCCCCCCACATCTGAGGCATGGCCTGGGTACCTGAATATGCTCGCGACGGGACTCCAAGACCCAGCCAGGCCAGGAGCAACAGCCTCCCAGCCCCCAGGAAAGGGGCCTTGATTAACAGCACTGCTGCTGGCACGCCCCCAGCCCCACTGCCTGGATTCTTTTTTTTTTTTTTTTTTGAGACGGAGTTTCACTCTTGTTACCCGGGCTGGAGTGCAATGGCTCGATCTCGGCTCACTGCAACCTCCGCCTCCTGGGTTCAGGCAATTCTCTTGCTTCAGCCTCCTGAGTAGCTGGGATTACAGGTACGCGCCACCATGCCCAGCTAATTTTTTGTATTATTTTTAGTAGAGACGGGGTTTCACCATGTTGACCAGGATGGTCTCGATCTCTTGACCTCGTGATCCACCCGCCTCAGCCTCCCAAAGTGCTGGGATTATAGGCGTGAGCCACCGCGCCCGGCCACCACTGCCTGGATTCTAGGACCTGGAAAGGCATCCGAAATGCCCCTTAAATACACAAGAGCAGCCTAGATTTCAAGGAACACCTCCTCCTGACTCCTGCCCACCGCAAAACCCTTTGTAGAGCGGATCAGCTTTAGTATAACAAGTGAACCATCCTCCCCAATTCCTCTTTTGGGTTAAGTCTGAATATTCAGGGTCGCTCAAGGCCAGATATACCAGAATTTTCAGGGTAGAGTATATCCACTCACCCCAGACCCACACACGCACTCAAAAGCAGGCATACCCCAAACCACCTGTGCCCCTATGAAAACACAACACACACACATACATACGCAAGTGTGCCTATATACATACAAAAATGCTCATCTGCCCAAGTACCTGCTCTCTTTCTCTCTCTTACACACACACACACACACACAACCAGACCTTTCCTGTTACCCGTTCCAGCAATCAGTCAGTGCAGAGCCACGGAGGGCAGGCCTGGTGAATCCATGGTGGAAAGGCGGGCTCTCCCTCCCCGTCTTCACCTCCTGCTTCCAGAACTTCCTCTGGGAACATTCCCACACTTGGACCCAGCTGATGGGGATGGACGATACTACCTGTGGGCTCAGCATTCACGTGACACTGCGCTCCACACACACACAAGCACGCAGCCTTTGTGGCTGGTGGCTTTCACACCAGACGCTCCCCCTTCCCTGCCTCTCCTACCTCTCCTCTCCCCCCACACTAAGGGCACGGTCTGGTCCTCCTCCTCCATTCTCCGCAATTATGACAGACTCGGCTCCAAATCTTAGCTCAGTCATCCTAATCTTTCTCTTTATTTGTATGTTTTTGTTTATAACAGGCTATCACTCTGCTGCCCAGGATGGAATGTGCTGTCACCATCCCAGCTCACTGCAGCCTCAAATTCTGGGGCTCAAGCAATCCTCCCACCTCAGCCTCCCGAGTAGCTGGGTAGTACAGACGCACATCACCATACCTAGCTAATTTTTGGTATTTTTTGTAGAGAAGAGGTCTCCCTTTGTTGCCCAGGCTGGTCTTGAACTCCCACTTCAGCCTCCCAAAGCACTGGGATCACTTGGCCCCATTTTAACCTTTCTGTTCTTCAGTTTCCTCATCTGCCAAAGTGGGGATAGTGCTAATATCCAGTTCACAGGACAGCTGTGAAAATTAAACCGAAGAATACATGGAAACCTCTGGAGAGACAGTCCATCATAGTTAATTTCTCAGTCCATGTCGCCTTCAGTGCTAGCTTGGGCCTCTGACCCTCCCTGGCTTCTTACCCTCCCTGGGTCTCTGCCTGCTCCCTTCTGCCCTTCACTCCCACAGGATCCTGGGTGGGTCCTGAGGCTATTTCAGTCTGGGCTGCATCTGCCCCAGTGAAACTGGATTTAGGGAAAATCTCAAGGTGAAACTCAAGCAAGTGAGATGACAGCTGGGAATGGATTTTACAAACTGTCAAGGGCTGCCCAATATGATTCCCTGCCAGGGCAGGAACTGGGAGGAAGATCCCACGCAGACTCTAAGACAGGGTCCTGGAGACACCAGCCTCCTCCAGAATCCAACTTGAAGAAAACAGGCTCTGCCCTGCCACCAGGCTGAGCATGCTGCTGGGCGCAGAGGGTGTGGAGGGCGGCTGGCCTGCAGCCCTAGGCTTGGGGCTTGGCAAGGGCGGGGCAATTGCTCCAGGTCTTGGAATGAGCACAGGGACTTCCTTGAATGGTGCAACTGAAAATGTTCCTCTGTGAAGGGGCAAGGCAGTGTCACACCTGGGCTCCCTGCTCACTCAGGTAGGGCCCCGGCTCTGGTCAGCCAGATGGGGTTTCTGGGCTCACCCTGGGGTTTGAGGATGCATTCTGGCCAAAGCTCATACATTGGCTCTCTGTGTGCCTGGAGTCAGGAGAGTCCAATGGTTATAGCTCGGGCCACTGACCCTTTGTGCTCCCTCCCTAAGCTTCATGTTTGCAAGCGTAAAATGGGCAGCCTGGCCTGGGAACGCCCATTTCAGCAGATCCCCCAGGGAGGAGCCTGGCTCCAGCATACTGCTTAAGGCCACTGTGATTCCACGACCCCATCTCACTGCAGGGTGGCTTCCTTCCTTCCTTCAGCACTGGGGAGGCTCTGGCCAGGCAGAGCATGAATCAGCTGTCCAGGGGGCGGACACACAGGGCCGAGCCGGTGCCACCCAGGCCTGCCTACACCTTCCAGCCCTGGCCACCTCTGTGCCAGCCCCCCATCCCAGGCCATGGCCCTCCTTACCGCAGACCCTCCTGCCCGCAGACCAAAAACAGTCTCCAAAACAAATCCATACTAATGAGCTGCTGCAGGGCCGGGCTGCACATCTGCTCAGCAGAAGTCCCACTACAGACCTCACCATCAACCCTGCCCGTTCCGCCAGCCTCCGACCCTTGGGGTTGGGGGTGGGGGGAAGCAGCTAAACTCAGCCTGAAATTTCACTTTAAAATATTGAGGCCATATTCCTGGCCAAGGCAGAACACCCTGTCCACCCCTCCAAAACACAGGCCCCAGGAGAGAGAAGTCCAGTTTGCAGGGGTGGGTGGAGAGGGGTGGGGGTCACCGAGGAAACGCGGCAGCCTCGTCTTTTCTTTGGCCCCAACTCAGGGCAAACCACGCCCAAACAGCCCCAGCATCTGGGGGAGTCTCGGGAGGCCCCATTCTGCAGTAACAAAGGGTGAGGGGCTCCTTGTTGACAAATTGCTTCCCCTCCTCCATGCCCGGCCAGCGTCCGGTCTTTGGCCTCCAGCCCTGACCTCTGTTTTCCAGGGGTGCCCCTAGTAACAGACTGGTGGCGTCCAGCTGGGGGAGCGAGGGCCTCTGAAAGCCTGAAGTGTGGCCTTCCTCCTTGATGCCCGCCAACCTCTGGTCACGCCAAGGCAGGCGGCTGCCCCCTCTGCCGCCGCTTGTAAAAGACCAGAATCGCCCCGCCCTGGGAACGGGCCGGGCAGGTGGCCCGAAGCAGGGCCTGTCGTCCAGCCGACCTCGCGGGGGTGGAATTCTTAAAGGAAACTGAGCCCCGGGAAAGGCTGGCTCTCCCTGCCCCAGACTCAATTCCAGGGAGATGACCCGGGCCAGGCCCCGGGGCCAGCGGGAGGCAGGGGGAGGGCTTGGCGCACCCGGTCTAGGAAACTATTCGTGAACCCCGCTGGGGGAGGGCGAGCCTCCGACACTGGGGGGATTGTCTGGATCGAGGGCGGGGGGTCAGGGAGACGCGCAGACACACGGCGAGAACCCCACAGAGGACAGCGCAGAGACAGAGGGAGGGAGAGAAAAGCGAGAGGCAGAGACACAAACGCGGGCGGCCGAACACGGAGGCAGGCGGGCGGGGAACGGAAAGAGACCGGGCAGACCCGGGGAGAGTGAGCGGCGGAAACGGAGCGAAGGAGAAACAGACACACAGACGTAGGGACCGAAGCCGAGGGGGCCGCAGGAGGCGGAAACGTCCAGAGCCGAGAGGCTCGGCGCGGCGAGGCCCGGGCACGGCCGGGGGACACGCGAGCCCGGCGGCCGAGCCCCGGCCCCTGCCCGGCCACGCATCTCCCTCCCTCGCTCCCTCTCTCTCCCGGCCGCGGAAACTCCGAGAGAGCAACGGAACCACGGGGCGAGTCTGGGGACGGGCTCCGGGCGCGGCGGTGCCCCCCGGCCACCCCGTGCCGCGCCCACGTCCCCAGAGCCGGCGTCCGGAGGCGCCCGCCGGGCCCCCCAGGGCTCCCGGGCTCGGCGGCGGTGCCTCCGCCAGTTGTCCGCGGCCGCCGGACGCGCCCGGGGCCGCAGCTCTGGGCCGGGGGCGCGGTGCTGCCCCCGCCGCCGAAGCCTCTGGAAGCCGGGTGCCCGCGTACCGGCCCGGGCGGGACTTACCGCGCGCGCCCGCCGGCTACTGCGGAGCTGGGTGCGGGGGTCGCGGGCCCGGGCGCCCCGGGAGGCTCGGCGAGGCGGCCGGCAGGGCTGGGGGCGGCCCCGCGAGGCTCGGCTGGGCTGCGCTGCGCGCCGTCTGCGGCCCCGGGCGGGCGCGCGGCGCGGGGGAGCGGCTCCGACGTCAGGGTGGCTCCCTCCAAACAGGGCGCGAGGGCGGGGGCAGCGGGGAGGGCCGCGCGCAGAAAGAGCGGGCGGGCGCGCGCGGCCTCTCCCTCCGGGTGCGCAGGAGGGGGCGCCGGGGCCCCGGGCCGTCTCGCCGCCTTCTGCCCGCCCCGGGTCGGGCTTCGGCGCGCTCCGACGGCGCGTGGGGCTGCCTGGACGCCTGGCCGGCGCCCGAGGGCCACGGCAGCCCGCCGGGAGCCCCGGCCCGTTCTCAAGAGCCCTCCCTGGGTGTCTCTGCGCTTCCACTCTCTCCGCCCGACTTTTCCCGAGCCTGGACTGTCAGGCCGTGCCATGCCTCGGGGTGACAAAGATGGAGGTGTCCTTTTTGTGGGCACCGGGCACTGCAGACTTGCTCCGAGAGTGGGGCGCTCCAGCCCGCCGCGTCCCGCACCGGGAGTCCGTCCTCACTCCGCAGTTCTGTGGTGCACCCCATCCAGTCCGCTCCGGCTTTCGACCCGGTTCAAGTTCGTGCTGTTGGTAGCCTGGGTTGCTCGGCCTCGCCCAGTGTCATCGTAGTGTCGCTCTCGACCTCCAGTCGGCTCCAGGCACTTGGCTTAAGCATCCCGAGAAGCCCCAGGGACTATTAGGAACCAGAACGGCAGCAAATGGACTCACTTCTCTGGCTCCTGGGAAGAGCGGAGCGCCTGGCCCCAGCGTCCAGCCTCACCTCAGGGGTTCCCATCCAATCAGTGGGCACTTGGGTGGGTTGCGGCGGCGCCTTCTCTACTCTGTATGCTTAACAACGGGGTGAGAAAATAACTTGCTACTGAAAAGTGGTGGCCCAGGGACACCATGTGGGACACGATTGTGGGACTCGGGGATTTTGCTTTACAGCATAGTTACCTGTGTCCATGTGCTTTACCCACCTTGGCTGGAAACTTCCAGATGGACGCAGCCCTGGTCATCTGACTCATGTGGTTGCCAAGCATCCTGCGTGGCTCCTAGTGGCCTGCTGGGAACTCCCTGGTGTACTCCAGCCTACCCGCACCCTCCACACCAGCCTGCATCTGTGCCTCCTAGCTGTTGCCTGCACCTTTCCCTCTGCCCGGAATTCCCTTCCCCTCCTTTCGACTCCTGGCAAATGTTTTTTCCAGCACCAGGTTGGAAAACCTTCCCAAGACCTTCTGGGAGCATCTCCCTCCTCCAGTGTGATCCTGGAGCGCGGGATAGGAACTTCTGTTCTTGTCAATTTCCCTCTAGAATAGCTGTGTACATCTCTTTCCTCCATTAGACCTTGAGGGCAGGAATCATGTGTTTATTTCAGTATCTCCAGTGCTTATGGGCAGGCCAGGTGAGATGTACAATGTATTTGGTTGAATGACGTTATTATTATTATTATGACACCGTTTTGCTCTTGTCGCCCTGGTTGAAATGCAATGGTTCAAGGCACCATGCCCAGCGAATAAAGTAATTATTATCCCCCACTGATGTAGCACAGATAGGTCTTCTCTTAATGGTAACTACTATAACCGTTATAATAGTTCACGTGTGTTGAGCACCTTACCATGTGCCTCATCCCATTGCCAGCCCTCACTACTCTCAAAATAAACCTGTGAGGTAAGTATTGTCTCTTATTTTAAAAGTGCTGGGCGCGGTGGCTCATGCCTGTAATCCAGCACTTTGGGAGGGCGAGTGAAGAGGATCACTTGGGGTCAGGAGTTTTAGACCAGCCTGGCCAATATGGTGAAACCCTGTCTCTACTAAAAATACAAAAATTAGCCAGGCGTGGTGGCGTGTGCCTGTAGTCCCAGCTACTTGGGAGGCTGAGGCAGGAGAATCACTTGAACCTGGGAGGCGGAGGTTGCAATGAGCTGAGGTAGCACCACTGCACTCCAGCCTGGGCAACAGAGTGAGACTCCATCTCAAAAAAAATAAATAAATAAAGTAAAATAAATAATAAAAGTGAAAAAAAAATCCCGAGGCAGGAAGATCACTTGAGCCCAAGAGTTTGAAGCTGCAGTGAGCTATGACTGTGCCACTGTACTCGAGCCTGGGTGATGTTACAGAAAGCTAATTGTGGAGCCTAATGAACTTGTCACTCCAGCAAGGCCTTGTCTCAAAAAAAAAAAAAAAAAAAAAAAAAAGTGAAAAAAAAGAAGGTCTAGAGAGAGGTTAAGTAACTCACCTAAAGTCACACAGTAAGAGGCCATGCCAGCTAATGTCTGTTGGATAGCCATGTACCATGTACTGCAGAAACCACCCTCACTGCACTGTACACAGTAGGCACGTAGGAAATGTTTACCGTTTTACAGCCAAAGGTTACCACCACCATCTTTCACGCATACCCTGAGCAGTATGGAAAGTGGAGTTCTGTATCTTGAAAGAATCCACTCCCACACTGCAGAAAGCTAATTGTGGAGCCTGATGAGCTTGTCAGATTACACACAGAGCCAGGAGTAGAAGTCGCAACTTCCAGCCAGTGCCCTCCACGGGGCAGCCCACCATCTCTCAAACACGGGGACATTCAAGAACACCAACCCCCTAATCAGGGACAGAGGGTTTGGAGTTGAGTCACCATCTGTTTGCTGATAACTACAGGAAAGCTACCGTGTGGGCAGGGGGCCTAGTAGGTCACTTGGTAATAATGTCTATCCATAGCTACATTTTGTGCCAGGCATGATACTAGGCACTCCGTCTGCTTCATCTCTAATCCTTACTACAGTCCCATCATTGTTCCCATTTTACAGGTGAGAAAAATCAAGGCACCAGAAAGTGTCACGACCTGCTCAAGACTACACTGCTAGTGATTGACAAAGCCTCGACTTGAGCTCAGACCTGTCAACACCAAAGTCCATGTTTCTGTGCACACCACACCCCCTCTACCCTCTCAGCTGCCCCAGTGCATCTCCCCGTCAGGCTGCAGCCGGGATGTTGCTCTGATGATGAGATCCAGGGTGGTGGGGCCCCAGCAGGAAAGGCAGAACCTGTCATGTCAGAGTCTCGCAGCTCCAGCAGATGCACCTGGTTGGCAGTAGTGTTCCAGCTGCCCCTACAGGCCTGGCTGGCACAGGGCATGGGCCCAAGGCCAGAGCCTCCTGGCCCTGAGCCAGCCTCTTGGGGCCGAGGTAACATGGGGCCCAGAGCTGGGGCTCAGGGCTGAAAGCCCCTCTCCCCCGCTCATTAGCAAACATCTGGGCTCAGGAAAATGACCGACCTGGAATGTGACTGAGCAGTGGGGAGCTGCTCTCTCCCAGAGTCTGTGAATGTGAGCTCCCTCTTGCAGGGCACGGGCTCAGGCCAGCTGTTTCCTCTAATCCTGTCAGTCTGGCCTCGACAGGGGTCCAAACCTCTGCACTCTCGCTGGAGCAAGAGAATGAAAACCAGCAAAAGGCCTGCCTTCCCAGTCCAGCCCATTGAATCAGAGGGTTGCTACACAGTCCCTCTCTTTTTACGATAAAGACAAGAGCATTCACATTTCCAGGTTTGGAGCTGGGAGGAGCCCTTCCGACTCATCAGGGGAGGCCCAGGGTTTAAATTTTTACTGCATCGCCCTCTGACCCTGAGAAAGTTGTTTCACACCTGGGCCTTGGTTTCCTTATCTATGAAATGCAGTTCGTAGTTCTGTGTACTCCCAGAGATTAGATTTGTTGTTGGGATTCATTCATTTATCCAACAAATATTTATTGTTCCTATGATGTGCCAGACATGCACAGAGGTATTGAGGACTCAAGAGACTAGACCAATAAGGTCCCAGCCTCCAAGGAGTTTACGTTCTGCCACAGGGAGGCAGACTGTGTAACAAACAGATGAGTGGGTCTCACATAATGTGTTACGAAGGTTCCAGGTTCAGTTGTTTAATATTTATTTAAAGGAGCCAGGTGCAGTGGCTCACACCTGTAATCCCAGCACTTTCGGAGGCCAAGGTGGATGGATCACCTGAGGTTGGGAGTTCAAGACCAGCCTGGCCAACATGGAGAAACCCTGACTCTACTAAAAATGCAAAATTAGCCAGGCATGGTTGCGCATGCCTGTAATCCCAGCTACTCAGGAGGCTGAGGCAGGAGAATCATTTGAACCAAGGAGGCGGAGGTTGCAGTGAGTCAAGATCACACCATTGCACTGTAGCCTGGGCAACCAGAGCAAGACTCCAGCTAAAAAAAAAAAAAAAAAAAACAGAACTGTTGGCCCAAGATGGTGGCTCACGCCTGTAATCCCAGCTCTTTAAGAGGCTGAGGTGGGTGGATCATTTGAGGTCAGGCGTTCAAGACCACCCTGGCCAACATGGTGAAACCCCATCTCTACTACAAATACAAAACTTAGCCTGGCGTGGTGGTACATGCTTGTAATCCCAGCTACTCAGGAGGCTGAGGCAGGAGAATTGCTTGAACCTGGGAGGCGAAGTTTGCAGTGAACTGAGATCACCCCAGATCGCTCCAGCCTGGGTGATGGAATGAGATTCCATCTTGAAAAATAATAATAATAATAATAATAATAATTTAAAAGAAAAAAAGGAGAAAAGGTGTTATGAAGGAACTAAGAGTGGGCGATGTGGTGGGGGGACATGAACTTACTGAGAAGCCACAGAAAACATTGCAACGAGGTGACATTTAAGGTGAGATTATGATGAGATGGAGCCAGGATTCAAGAAGATAAATGGACGCAAAGCGCTCGGCACAGTTCCTGGAAAACAGCACGTGCTCCATAAAATGAAAGCTATTTCAGGGAGGTTTCATATATATAGTTCAGAAAAGGCGCTGGAGTCAGATGCTCTGGATCAAATCCAGGATTCAGCACAAAGCGTTCTCACCTTACTCCAGTATTGCACCTCTTGAGCCTCAGTTTCCTCGTCTGGAAAACAGGAATTGTAATAGGACCAATCCCCAGGATTCACTAAGAGACGTGAATGTGAGGCACAGAGCCTGGCACATGCTTGGCTCTCAGGAACTGGCAGTTACTATGGTGGGTTTTTTGTTTTTGTTTTTGTTTTTGTTTTGAGGTGGATTCTCTATCACTCAGGCTGGAGTGCAGAGGCACAATCTCTGCTCACTGCAACCTCCGCTTCCCAGGCTCAAGCGGTCCTCCCACCTCAGCCTCCTCCTGAATAGCTGGGA